TATATATAACCTTGCGATAACACACACACAAAAGCACTTTTTTCACATGTAACTGTAGTGGATATAAATATGGCAGTGTGTAGGTGTCCGCCAGTGTTTGTGCAGTTATGACATGTGATTATTCCAAGACTGACATGTTAGTCACTGAATATTTGCTGCCGGTGACGATGGCGGCGACACTGACTCATTTACTCCGCTGTCATTTTGCACACCTTCGCCGCGGTTGGTGGCTATATTTCATTGTAGCGGCAATGCGCTGTCACTTGTGACAGCTTTGAATAATGTCCATTCATAAGTTGCACGTTTAGTCGTACGCGTGTGCCAAAATACACATTCAACACAACAACAGCACATACAAGCAAACACGCGGTGTTTTGGTGTAACATGCGTATCTCTGCTTATTATGCACCAAATTAAAAAAACTTTGTCATTTAATGCTGTCAAATATGTGGATTTACATACGCACATTTACAATACCATATCTATACGCCTCCATATAAATAAACCAAACCCCAATGCGCTCACATCTCCTTCTTTAGTTACTACCCGGGTTAATTTCTTCCCTACATCAACCACTTTTATTGTTATAAATATTGTAACCGACTCGCGTGAGGTCACCTAATGAACATAGTTCATATTCGTTTTTTTCTGCGTGAATAACATTAAACACCCGTTAGTTATCGGTGTATTTTAATTTTATTCGGTCCTTGAGGGTGTTATATAATTTTGAATTTTTCGTGCGTAGGTAAGAAACCAATATGCTTCATGGACCTTGCGGACAATAAATGCACGAAACACTATCCACGTGCTTTTCTTTGGGAAATGATGGATATCCACTCTATCGGCGTCGCTCACCAGACGACAATGGCAGAATATTCAGCATTCAACTTAGAAGAGTTAATATCGAAGTTGACTACCCATGGATCGTACTATATTCACCTCTATGTCTAAATCACATTCAAAACTCATATTAATGTTGATTATTGCAGTTTGGTGTAATCGATAAAATACGTTTGTAACTACGTCACTAAAGGGAAAAACATGACGGTTATTGGTCTCGAATGAGATCGAAAGTATCAAATGGTCCATACGTGAACTGCAATAAAGCGTAGGATATTTACTTTTGCAATTCATGAACGTTTTCCGACAGTTGTGCGTCTCGCTGTTAATTTGGAGAATGGGCAAAGAGTATATTCAAACTTAGAGAATACAGTATAGCCAGTGGAAATACCTCCAGCAACAAAATTAGCATTTACGAGTTTTTGCTCAGCTTTCGTCAGTGACATTGCTCTTTTCAGAAATACCTTGATATTATACATGGAATGCATTGTCGAAGAAATAGTTACGCAGAGAGCAAGGTCAAGCAGTAGATGAACATCCAGGTGTGATCTCAAGTAATCCATAAGGACGAATTTACACAATCCACCCTAAAAACGACATTTGTTTCTACCTTCGGTTTCTCTTGATTAATGTACGCGGTCCAACTTCGTTTGAGTCATTGCGTACTGTGAATGGTACGGTGTGTGCAAGTACGTGTGTGGAACGTGTTAATCACTGGAATGCAAATGTAGCTCGCACATTTCTCGCGACGATCATTTCGACATATCAGCCTTCAATCCGCGTCTATTATGAGATACGAACAAAAATCGCATTGCCCGAAATGGGTCCACTCTGGTGGTTTGATATCAATTCCATCCCCCGATTATCAATTCACGAAAAAGGAACTCATCACGAATATTCGGATATTGCCAAATTATCGTAACTACGATTCCTTTAGTGAACGCGCAATGTTAGCTGCCAAAACTGTCGATGTTGTTGACTTAAACTGTAAGATTCAAAGTCAAATTCCGGGAGACTTGCGCTCATACAAATTGATTGATCGTCTTGACAAAAAAGACGACGCCGTGAATTATCCAGTGGAATTTCTAGATTCTTTGTATAGGCTAGGTATGCCACCGCATCATTTGCGTCTCAAAGTTGTATCTGTCGTTATTATGTTTCGCAATCTGCATGCGCCGAACCTGTGTAATGGAATCCGACTGACTGTGACCCACCTATCGAATACAGGAGGCAGAATTCTTGATTCTACGAATTCCTTTGAGTTCCAATGATTCGCCATTTGAATTCAAAGGTATTCCGCTGCCAGTGAAAATTGCATTTGAGGGACAATCGACAGGACACAACTTGGTTTGCTATTTGTCCTTCTTCGAGTGAGCGTCCAGCCTTCACATTATCAAG